CATCCCCATTGGTACGTGTCAGCTGACCATAGTATGAGATTTCTGTTCTCATTGAGCTCACCTTAGGACACCCGCGTTACTTCGTCTAGAGGGAGAGAGAGAGGGAGGGAGGATAGAGGGAGGGAGGATAGAGGGAGGGAGGGAGGGGAGAGGAGTTGGGAAAAGACAGACAGCAGGGGGGGAGACTGTCAAGAGACACACACAGAGAGAGAAGGGGAGGGAGGAAGGGAGGGAGACAGATTGAAGAAGAGAGGGAGGGAGGATAGAGGGTGGTTAAAGAGGGTAGAGCAAAGAGGGAGGTAGACAAGAGGAGAGGATTGAGGGACAAAGGGAGAGACAGAGAGACAGACAGACAGACAGACAGACAGACAGACAGACAGACAGAGAGAGAGGGAGGAGGGAGGGAGGATAGAGAGAGTTTAAAGAGGGTAGAGACAGAGACAGAGGCCTCGATCCTGCTAGATCGTGTCGCATGTCATGGCATAGCGTGTCGGCACTGTGACAGACCACGCGGGAACATCATAGCGACAGGAAACTGCTGTCGACGTCCGGGGTGGGTCGAGGAGGGAATGGAAATCCGTCGTTCATAGAAGTCGATCTGCATCTTTAACGCCGCGTGTGCATCAAGGATGAGGAACTCCTCCTGAGCCCTGACGTCAGTGCCTGTGATCCGGAAGTCAAGGTGACATGCGTCCCGAATTATAACCGATCTGTCGTCTTTGGCGGACTGTACCTTCACCGGGGTGGCGATCTTGTGCGTAGATAACCGGAGTTCGTCTACAATCGCACGCGAGAGAATGGATGCCTGCGCCCCCGTGTCCAGTAGCGCCAGGATTTCTCTGGGTTGCTCTGCTCGGTCCGACTCAATTTGAATGGGCAGGTAGAGCAGGTTGGAGTCGATGTCTGCCGCCTGAGTCAGCGTCGAGGCGGTCTGAACTGTCAGCGTATTCATTTGCAGCAAGTCGTGTGCTTCGGTCGTCACGGCAGCGGTAGCTGAGCGACCCCTGCCCGTGCCAGGGCCGGGCTGGTATCGTGGGGCCGGTGTGTGCTGCTTCGTCTAGAGGGAGAGAGAGAGGGAGGGAGGATAGAGGGAGGGAGGATAGAGGGAGGGAGGATAGAGGGAGGGAGGGAGGGGAGAGGAGTTGGGAAAAGACAGACAGCAGGGGGGGAGACTGTCAAGAGACACACACAGAGAGAGAAGGGGAGGGAGGAAGGGAGGGAGACAGATTGAAGAAGAGAGGGAGGGAGGATAGAGGGTGGTTAAAGACAGTGCCTGATAACCGATCTGTCGTCTTTGGCGGACTGTACCTTCACCGGGGTGGCGATCTTGTGCGTAGATAACCGGAGTTCGTCTACAATCGCACGCGAGAGAATGGATGCCTGCGCCCCCGTGTCCAGTAGCGCCAGGATTTCTCTGGGTTGCTCTGCTCGGTCCGACTCAATTTGAATGGGCAGGTAGAGCAGGTTGGAGTCGATGTCTGCCGCCTGAGTCAGCGTCGAGGCGGTCTGAACTGTCAGCGTATTCATTTGCAGCAAGTCGTGTGCTTCGCCATCAAACTGCACGTGGTGGCGTCGACGAGACTGAGCGTCAGCACGCTTACCCTGTCGAGTCGTCACGGCAGCGGTAGCTGAGCGACCCCTGCCCGTGCCAGGGCCGGGCTGGTATCGTGGGGCCGGTGTGTGCTGCGGATTGCCCCCCGAACGGGGCTGACCCGGGACTCCCGTGACAGCAGGGGTTCCCTTACCTCGATTGGGCTTACCCGCAAGCACATGCAATGTCAAAGCATTCAGCTGGCATCGTGCAGTGGTGGGGAAACGTCGGCTCCGAACCTGTCGTTTGCAGATGGGAAGCACTCCATGCATTGAGGAGAAGCTTCGTTGTCACGTTAGTGATGCCCGTTGCAAAGCGTTCACGCAGGATCACATCGGTGGCGAATGCCGCACCACCGGGAATGAGATCTAGTTGTTCTTTGAGAAGCTTCGTACGCTTGCAGTATGTTGCCATGGATTCTTGCGGCTCCTGACGGAGGTGATCCAGACAGGCAACGAGTTGTGCTCGGAGTCCCAATGGCATGTGTTGAGGCTTGAGCTGGGTGGCGAACTTCACCCAGGGAAGCTCTCGAAGTTCGGTAGCCGAATCCTCAAAGTTCGGTAGCGAGAGAGAGGAGAAGAAGAAGAAGAAGAAGGAGAAGGAGGAGACGAGAGAGAGAGAGAGAGAGAGAGATACAGAGAGAGGGAGGGAGGCAGGGAAACCGAGGGAGAGGGAGGGAGGGAGTAGAGGATGGGGGATCAAGATAAATTGAGAGAGGCAGCTAACAAGAACCGCAAGGCAGCCAACAAGAGCTGCTGCATCGTCCTCTCCTTCTCCCTTAACCTCCCACGCCCCTCAAGGCCTCTACTAAGGAGAGTAAGATGAGCTTTTCAGCCGCAAATCATCAAGTATCAACCGATGTCTACCTATATCGCTCCCACTGACTCAGCGACGGGCCGGCCGGGTAGTCAAAGGAGGATGAGATTTCAATCTCATAGTTTATCAGGCTGGTACCTGGGAGCCAACCGCCGTTCTTCCATGCGTTAGTCCGTCTCGGAGTCCCCGGGGGGCTCCTTGCTTCAAGTTCCTACTGCCGCCGGTACGGTCAGCCCGGCCGCCGCGCAGAGTCACCCCGGCAACTCAGTGCAACGGTACGGTGGGCGCGGCCCGGCCCTGACCCACAGAGTCAGCAAGTCATTGCCCGCGACTGAGCCTACCGTGGCATACTTGGACCTGGATCTGCCGGCCCGGGCTCCGACTGGGAGCGGCGGCCCTCCCCGGCCTCTGAGCCACCATGAGTGTGGACCGCCGGCCGGGCCGCCCCGGAACTCGGAAGCTCGCGCGGCAATCAAGTTCGAGCAGCCCGCGACTCATGATTCGTGATTCCTACCCGGCGATGACAAACGGGGTGTTCGGAGGGCCGCCCGTTCAGACTCGGGCCCAGCGTATTCCATCACTGGGTCGCCGGCCGCGGCGCACCCGCCGGGCGGTGAGAGGCGGTCATTTCTGTTAGGCACTAACAAGGTATTGGCAGCCAGATAATTTCAACATGGGCCCAAAGCCTTCAATCACGCCGGATGCCCGACGCCAAGCCTGCGGCGCCGGCCACTGATTAACTTGAGTCGAGTCTGGATGGTCTCTCGGCCTACTTTCCTGTCAGTACGGTGATTGTCCACGTGAAACCAGCGCGGACCGCAGGGCGGGGCCCCGCCGGGCCCAGTCCGCCGACAACTTGTGACTCAATGACTCAATGACTGAGCCTCTTACGGTGACTCGGTAGGCCTGAGGCAAAGGCCTGAGGCAATGACTCGATGACTCGATGACTCGATGACTCGATGACTCTATGACTCGATGACTCAATGACTCAATGACTCTATGACTCTATGACTCTATGACTCTATGACTCTATGACTCTATGACTCTATGACTCCATGACTCAATGAATTATGGTGACTCAGTAGGGGCCTAGCAGCTGCCGGCGTCCTGCGGTGCAAAGGTGCAGTCGAGTCGATGTCGTAGGTCTTGAGCCAGTCCATGGTCTTCCACGACCTTGTTCGGGTTGGTCCTGAACATGCCGGTGTAAGGAACGGAGTATGCGGGGCAGGAGCAGAGGTCCCCCATGGTTGTGCCCTCCCCTCCCCCGAAGAGGCCCTGTCTCTGGGTGCAGGTGTCGTTGCTCCTCATCCCCCGCTTGAAGAGGTTGTTGGTCGCGGAGCTCATCACCCCGGTGCAGTAGGCCTTGCTGCTGCATGAAGTCAGGCCGATCAGGTTGCGGTCCAATGCGCATGCGGTCCGATGCGCACAGTGACTCTATGACTCAATATCTCAATGATTCCATGACTCAATGACTCTATGACTCTATGACTCTATGACACAATGACTCCATGACTCAATGACTCTATGACTGAATGACTCTATGACTCTATGACTCTATGACTGAATGACTCAATGACTGAATGACTCTATGACTGAATGACTGAATGACTGAATGACTCAATGACTCCATGACTCTATGACTCAATGACTCTACAATGACTCCATGACTCTATGACTCTATGACTCTATGACTCTATGACTCTATGACTGAATGACTCTATGACTCTATGACTCTATGACTGAATGACTCTATGACTCTATGACTCTATGACTCTATGACTCTATGACTCAATGACTCCATGACTCTATGACTCCATGACTCTATGACTAAATGACTCTATGACTCTATGACTCTATGACTCAATGACTCTATGACTCAATGACTCTATGACTCTATGACTCTATGACTCTATGACTCTATGACTCTATGACTCTATGACTCAATGACTCTATGACTCTATGACTCAATGACTCTATGACTCTATGACTCTATGACTCTATGACTCTATGACTCTATGACTCCATGACTCCATGACTGAGTGACTCCATGACTGAATGACTGAATGACTCTATGACTCTATGACTCTATGACTCTATGACTCAATGACTCTATGACTCTATGACTCCATGACTCTATGACTCAATGACTCTACAATGACTCCATGACTCTATGACTGAATGACTCTATGACTCTATGACTCTATGACTCTATGACTCTATGACTGAATGACTCTATGACTCTATGACTCTATGTCACTCTATGACTCTACGACTCTATGACTCTATGACTCAATGACTGAATGACTCAATGACTCTATGACTCTATGACTCCATGACTCTATGACTGAATGACTCAATGACTCTATGACTCCATGACTCTATGACTCTATGACTCTATGACTGAATGACTCTATGACTCTATGACTGAATGCCTCTATGACTCTATGACTCTATGACTCTATGACTGAATGACTCCATGACTCTATGACTCTATGACTCTACAATGACTCTATGACTCTATGACTGAATGACTCCATGACTCTATGACTCTATGAATCTATGACTCTATGACTCTATGACTGAATGACTCCATGACTCTATGACTCTATGACTCTACAATGACTCCATGACTCTATGACTCTATGACTCTATGACTCTATGACTGAATGACTCAGTGACTCTATGACTCTATGACTCTATGACTCCATGACTCTATGACTCAATGACTCTATGACTCTATGACTGAATGACTGTATGACTCTATGACTCTATGACTCTATGACTCAATGACTCTATGACTGAATGACTCTATGACTGAATGACTCTATGACTCTATGACTCTATGACTCTATGACTCAATGACTCCATGACTCTATGACTCTATGACTCCATGACTGAATGACTCAATGACTCTATGACTCTATGACTCTATGACTCTATGACTCTATGACTCAATGACTCTATGACTCTATGACTCCATGACTCTATGACTCAATGACTCTACAATGACTCCATGACTCTATGACTGAATGACTCAATGACTCTATGACTCAATGACTCTATGACTCAATGACTGAATGACTCAATGACTCTATGACTCTATGACTCCATGACTCTATGACTGAATGACTCAATGACTCTATGACTCTATGACTATATGACTCAATGACTCTATGACTGAATGACTCTATGACTCTATGACTCCATGACTCCATGACTCTATGACTGAATGAGTGTACGACTCTATGACTGAATGACTGTATTTCAATGACTATATGACTGAATGACTCAATGACTCCGAGACTATGACTCTATGACTCTATGACTCTATGACTCTATGACTCAATGACTCTATGACTGAATGACTCTATGACTCTATGACTGAATGACTCAATGACTGAATGACTGAATGACTCCATGACTCTATGACTCTATGACTCTATGACTCTATGACTGAATGACTCAATCAGTCTATGACTGAATGACTCTATGACTCAATGACTCCATGACTCTATGACTCTATGACTCAATGACTCTATGACTCTATGACTCTATGACTCTATGACTCTATGACTCTATGACTCTATGACTCTATGACTCTATGACTCTATGACTCGATGACTCTATGACTCTATGACTCTATGACTCTATGACTCTATGACTCTATGACTCTATGACTCTATGACTCTATGACTCCATGACTCCATGACTGTATGACTCCATGATCTTGAACTTGACTGAATGACTCTATGACTCTATGACTCTATGACTCTATGACTCAATGACTCTATGACTCTATGACTCCATGACTCTATGACTCAATGACTCTACAATGACTGCATGACTCTATGACTGAATGACTCTATGACTCTATGACTCTATGACTCTATGACTCTATGACTCAATGACTCTATGACTCTATGACTCTATGTCACTCAATGACTCTATGACTCCATGACTCTATGACTCCATGACTCAATGACTCTATGACTCCATGACTCCATGACTGAATGACTCTATGACTCTATGACTCAATGACTCAATGACTCTATGACTTTGATGACTCTATGGACTCTATTGACTTCTACGATGACTCAATTGACCTCCAATTGAACTGAATGACTCCGATGACCTCAATGACTCAATTGACTCTATGCACTTCTAATGAACTCCATGACTCTATGACTCCATGACTCTATGACTCTATGACTGAATGACTCTATGACTCAATGACTCCATGACTCTATGACTCTATGACTCTATGACTCTACGACTCTATGACTGAATGACTCTATGACTCTGACTCTATGACTGAATGACTCTATGACTCCATGACTCTGACTCACTGACTCTATGACTCTATGACTCTATGACTCTATGACTCTATGACTGAATGACTCTATGACTCTATGACTGAATGACTCAATGACTCTATGACTCTATGACTCTATGACTCTATGACTGAATGACTCAATGACTCTATGACTCTATGACTGAATGACTCTATGACTCTATGACTCTATGACTCAATGACTGAATGACTGAATGACTCCATGACTCTATGACTCAATGACTCTACGACTCTATGACTCTATGACTGAATGACTCCATGACTCTATGACTCAATGACTCCATGACTGAATGACTCCATGACTCTATGACTCCATGACTCTATGACTCTATGACTCTATGACTCAATGACTCTATGACTGAATGACTCTATGACTCTATGACTCTATGACTCTATGACTCAATGACTCTATGACTCAATGACTCTATGACTCTATGACTCTATGACTGAATGACTCCATGACTCTATGACTCTATGACTCAATGACTCAATGACTGAATGACTCCATGACTCAATGACTCTATGACTCTATGACTGAATGACTGAATGACTCAATGACTGAATGACTCCATGATTCAATGACTCCATGACTGAATGACTCAATGACTCTATGACTCTATGACTGAATGACTCCATGACTCTATGACTCAATGACTCCATGACTCCATGACTCTATGACTCAATGACTGAATGACTCTATGACTCCATGACTCTTTGACTGAATGACTCAATGACTCAATGACTCTATGACTGAATGACTCAATGACTCTATGACTCAATCAGTCTATGACTCTATGACTCTATGACTCTATGACTCTATGACTCTATGACTCAATGAATCAATGACTCTATGACTCTATGACTCCATGACTGTATGACTGAATGACTCTATGACTGAATGACTCTATGACTCTATGACTCTATGACTCTATGACTCAATGACTCTATGACTCAATGACTTGATTCATACAGTCATAGAGTCATTGAAGAGGGAGGAGAGGGAGAGGAAGGCGAGAAGGAGAGGGAGAGTATTGCATGGCAGTTGGCGAAACATAACTGGGAGAGGAAGAGCAGGAAAGGCTCTTTTCTTGCTGCTTTCCCTCTCCCTATCCCTTTCGTCTCCGTCTTCCTCTCTCCTTTTCCCTCTCCCTCTCCCTCTCGCCATCTCCTTTGCGCACGTCCCGCAAGGCCATCCACATGTGCTCGCAAGATGAGCTTTTCAGCCGCAAATCATCAAGTATCAACCGATGTCTACCTATATCGCTCCCACTGACTCAGCGACGGGCCGGTCGGGCAGTACGGTCATAAAGGAGGATGAGATTTCAATCTCATAGTTTATCAGGCTGGTACCTGGGAGCCAGCCGCCGTTCTTCCATGCGTTAGTCCGTCTCCGGGAGTCCCCGGGGGGGCCGGGCCCGGGGCGAACCCCGGGAGGGGGCGGGCGAACCGGAGGCTAGCCCGACTGACTCAGTGAGCATGCCGTGACTGATAGTATCCTTGAAGCCTAGTCCCAGTCAATGAATTGAAGCTCGGGTCCGGGGTCCGGGAACGTTCCCGGCGAGCGGCGGCTGCTCCCGCCTCTCGGAGCCACTGAGTGTTCTACCTGGGACCGGCGACTCGGATCCGGCGTCGACCGTACGTAGTACCGCCCCGCAACTCAAGATTCGTGAGAGTCCGATCATAGCACGCCGTGACTGATATCAAGCCTTGTTTCCTACTGCCGCCGGCACGGTCACCGTACGGAGCTAGTGACTGCCGAGTGCTACGGCTGGCCACTTCGGCCCTCAGCGCCACACTGACCGTACTCCCGACTCAGCGATCCGATCACTGATGGGTGACCATGATGGGGGACCTGCGTGATGGGTGACCGTACAGATGCTGGCAGGAGTACCCGGCGCTGGCAAGATAGAGGGGAGACTGCGAATGGCAGGGCGCGCAGTAGGGCGGCTGCTGGTTCTGATCCAGCTGCTGCTCGGGTGGTTTGCGGAAGCTGATCATCTCACTCCTCTGCACAACCATGTTTGGCCCATCTTGCTTTCCTCTCACCCTGCTCTGCGCTTCAAGAACAGTGCGGGATACTTCCTCTCCCTACGATGCGACCAAGCAAGGTTTTGTGCGAGAAATGCCAACGAGTCTGCAGTATTCGTTGCCAGCGCACATGACAAGAACAAAACCTGAGCATCCTGAAGCTAATCGATACAAAAATTCAGACAGCAGATCAAACACATCTTGCTATCAAAGCGAACGAGGCTGAACTCGCCTTAGTTTTGCAAAACGAACCTTACGGATTCAATCTATCCTTCCAGCAGGACTGTCCTTGGCTTATCTGCTCACTCCAGGACAAAGCAGAGAAACTGCAATATCTTCGGATTGATCAAAGCAGTAAGGTCGATGTGTCACCCAGGTTGGAATCTTCTTCAAGGATCTTCGTAGAAATTCTAGATTTGCCAAGCGCTTCTAGCAGAGAGATTGCTAATGGCAAGTGGCTCTCTCCGTTTGAGGCCTGCTTGAATATTCTAAGGCGCATGAGAGAAAATGTGGTTCTACAGTTCAAACATGTAGTTCTTGACCAACCCATTGAGTTCTGCCATGACGGACATCTCGTTCAGGTCAGCAGGTTCAATTGCTTACCGTTTGCTGACACTTAGAAGAACGGAACTGTTCTTCCTCTTCAAGATCCTGCGACAAAGAAGGTGCCTCCTTTCCCTGCCCCCTGCGTTTCTGCTCACAGACCAGATCAGCTTAGAATAGTGACCGCAAGGAAATTCCCGGAGGTAAGATTCATTCCAGAAGACAGGGAAACCAAACGAAACTTGTTCCTCTCTGTGGATAAGCAGGGAGCAGTAAGCCTACGAGGGTGATGCGCTTCAACCAGCTGCTCTCTTACCTTTTGAGTTTGACAATGTCATTCAGACATGCATTGGTGTGGGAAACTATGACATTGGCACTCAAACAGGTACTGATGCGCTTTTTGCTTGCTTCCATAACGGTAGATCCAGTCATTCGTCTCGACAATACATCAAAAACTACTATCTCCGCAAAAAAGGTTGATAAGAACTTGCTTCACCTGCATCTCTGCTTCAATGCTGAACCTCATGAACAGGGGAAAGGCGGTTGAGTGTAAAATTCCGAAAGGAAGTGATGTTTCGCCTCTCAACAATCAGTTGAAGCAAATGAGCCTGGGGAACAAAGGTGTCAAGGCTCAAGCTGCTCAAAGAAACAGCAAAGAGTCATTCTCCCTCGAAACAACCACATCAGGAGTTGTATCTGACAACTCAAATGGTTCAAAGAAGGGTCGAAAACTCCCGTATAAGAAGCGAGTGAAACAGATGCTTGCCGAAGAAGCCAAGAACGAGAAGGTTAAAAGAGACAAGGCAAATGAGAAGAAACAGCGCAAAGAAAAAGGGACAGGAGGTAACAAGAAGCCTCTTGCAGACTTGCCCGACCCCAAAGAACTGTCTCACAGTGGTGCGGAGGAGAAGCCGCTGGACACTGACGCTGCTGCTGCCTCCTTTGGGCAAAGTCGGCAAGGGGATGGGGGAGGAGGAGGTGCGATCAGTCAACCATCATCCAGCTTGAAGTGCAGTGGATGCGGCGGAGAATTGAAGAGTCAGAAGGTTGCAGGAGATAAGGTAAGAAGAACTATTTTGACTAGTGATGATGTTTAGGTTGACATTAAGGTCAGAAGATTATTCTCAGAGTAGACGAAATTTAGAATGGGTGACATGAACATGAGATAATGTTTGCAAGGGCTGACCATAAGAGGAGATTGACAATATCCTTTTCTGTTTTTGCTAATGATATTTTTCTTGTAGACGAAGGTGTCTTTTCGCGAACATCTCGGCGGACAATACTGCGAGGCTTGTTTTGCTCGGTATTTGCCTAGGAATACTTTTTTCGATCCTAAACCTTCGACAACAGTGACATTGCTCCTCGGTGTTTTCGCTGTCACATGGCCATAACAGGCAGGTAACCATGTCGCGCCTGAGACAAGTGACAAAGGTTGCAGGAACCGTCACAACCGCTATGCAGAAGCAGTGGCATCCCGAGTGCCTTCGCTGTGCCCTCTGCAATGCGCAGCTTCAGGTGGGAAGGACGCGAGAGGAGGGAGAGAAGTGAGACCTGCTACAGGCGAGCTTCTACCTCCTGGATCATAAGCCAGGAATACCCTACTGCTCCTTCTGCATACGGGGTGTGCAGCAGAGCGAGCAAGCGGCTCGCGACAGGAGCAGAGGGACCATGCCGGGGGGAGGCAGAATGGGAGGAGGATATCCGCTGCCGTCCTCTGCATTCATGCAGGGGCAAGGGAGATTTTGAGGAGAAAGGAACATCAACTTCGTGTACAGACATATTAGCATCGCTCCTATCGCCTCGAGTGCTGTAGAGCTTTTCTCTTGCTCTGGACCTCAAAGTTGCTAAAAGGAGCGCACACTCGATTGTTCACCACTTCATGGACGTCTCCCGCTCCTGAGAGAAGCCCAGCTGGTCTCTGCTGGACTTGACGAATTAGTTCTTCCCAGGTGAAGTCTTCCTCGGACCGACGAGAGGTCTGCCTCAGCTCCAGCACTGTCAGGGTGTGCCAGGCGTCGGAGAGTCTGATGTAGCCGTCTTGGTCCGTGTCAGTCTTGTCAAACAGGCGCTCAAACTTCCGGCGAGAGATGTTGAGGTTCATCCCCGCACGCATGAGCATCGCGTTCTTGATAAACTGCTGCTTGTTCAGCCTCCTCACGTTCCGCCTCTCGTGCTCAAAGATCGCATGCACTCGTTCCCTCTCAGAGAAATTGTCTTGCAGAGCATACCGAAGCTCTTTGTCGATGAACAACCAAACCTCCACGAATTGTACCCTCCTCCTCATCCCCTTGTCCATCTCTGTGCTCTCCTTCTCTTCTCGTTGTCTCCTGATCTCGGCCCGCCCTACCTCACTTGTCCGTCTCTCCTCCTCTCCCTCCTGTCGGAACGTCTCTCTTCTCTGCATGAACTCCATGAAGGCAATGTAGGGATCCCAGTCAATCGACATTCCAACTACTCGGTCACGAGTTTGTAACGCCATCCAGAGGGAAGCTTCCTGAACGTTCACGAGGCGAAGACGCGTAAGGGAAGCGAGGTAGAGAAGGAGGAGAAGAAGAAAGGAGAGAGAAGAGGAAAGATAAATTAGAGCAAGCTTTCGGTCAATCACAAGCATCTCTACACACCTCCAGAGATTTCCTCGACTCCATCCAACCTAGATCGAGTTCATGGATAATTCTCTTCGAAAATGTCACTACAGGGGCCGTACAAGCTCTCGCCTTACCTGCAGCAAGCCACTGCCTCGAGGACACGAGTCGCGCTCGATAGCAGGATGCATGTGCGAGTGAGAGAGGCCCACGAGTCTCTGGCGGTCGCAGGGAGGATGAAGACGAGGAGCCAGGATATTGAACTCCTGCAGGAACTCGTCCACAAGGAAGTCGAGGTCGTCATGCAGCGAGCGGCGAGTGGGAGCAGGGAGAGTTTTCCAGTGTAGCTGCAGCTGCTTTGCCGTCCCCCAGAGAGCGAGCTGGTACTCGCCGTCCCTGCCCGTGCTGTACAAGGAGACGAGGCCCGTGTTGTCCCACCGAACCTGACAGACGTTGCCGTCCATGAAGACATCGGTTATTATCCCTCGTCCTGCCGCTGCTTCGTTTCTGAGATCCCGTGTGAGCGGTTGACGAGAGCTGAGGAGCTCCCGACCCTGCAAGGCTCAGTCAGGATACCAGCAGGCGGAAGGAGCACGTGCAGTCAGATGTTGGAGGGAGACCAGGCCGAACGGGAGGAGGAAGGAGGAAAGATGAAGAGGAAAGGAGGACGACAAGGAGGACGACAGACCAGGGACGAGAGGCAACACGAGATGATAGCAGAACAGAGCAGATGCGAAGAGGTGAGGGAAGGAGAGACGATTGAAGTTCAACCGCTTGGACGAGTTTGTTGGATCTCATGTTGTCATGAGCATTTCTTGCAGAGGTCGCAGAAGGATCCTTCAGTCCCTTCATCCGCATCTGCTTGATAAACGCCTCCGTCCCTCGCACTTTCTGGCCAACCCTTGCCTCAACGTCCTTGTTGACAAGCCTCTCGTTCTGCCACCTTGTCAGCAACGTTGACATCTCACAGATAACATTCACGTCGTCTTGCGTGGTGATCGGCTTGCTGCACATGAGGCTCAACATCACGAGAGTCTCGCCTACTTGGTTAGCACATCTGACAGCATACTTGCGAAAGTCTGTGTCCAACTGCTGCGGCGATCCTGTGATCCTTCCATCATCACCGTTCAACTTCAATCCCTGAGGCAGAGAATCCGCTTTGAACTGTAGAGGACGGCTTCCTTTCACCCTGCAGCTCCTTCAGTCCCTCCTTCCTCTCTCTCTCTCCTCTCTCTCTCCCTCCCTCCTCTTCCTCTCTCAGCCGACTTTCCCTTCATCTCTCCCCCTTTTTCTCCTTCCATCAGCTTCCACTCTATCTCTCGCCCTCAACTCTCTGTCTCCCTCCCCACCCCCTTGTCCTCCCTAATGCTTACTGGCAGTGGTTTGTCCCGATCTCGACCTCGTTGATAAGGACCGCTTCCTCATAGTCGTAGGACATGTTGCTTGGGGGAAGCAGGATCTGCATCTTCACACTTGTCTTCACATACCCCACAGGATTCCATGCTGTTATCTCCCATGTTCCTGCCCGCTCTTCCTGCGGGACTCCAACGATGCTGCAAAGATTGTGAACAAATTGAGAGGGAGCACGGACGGAGCGAAACGGAGAGAGCGCGAGGGAGAGAGCATGAGAGAGAGGACAAGGAGGCACGTGAAGGTCAACCTGCCATTTGTGGGATCAACGTGAAGCCCAGCAGGAAGCGGAGGAGACACGTCAAACATCGGCCAGCTACCAGTCAGACTGACAGGTTTTCCTCTCCTTGTGAACACAGCGATACTGTCCGTCCACACGAAGCTCGAACCCAGCGCAAAGTCAGCAGAGTTGGAAGAGACAGTTCGGGGCAGGTCGATAGGGCCAAACTCTGGTTCTCTCCAGCCCTTTGCAAAGTTCTCGGCGAGGAGCTCAGCAGAGAAGGCGATCTGCTCTTGTCCCAGCTCGTACGTCACGTCCGTGTGGTGGTACTTGAGCAGCTCCGGCGGAAGGAGGAAGAGCATGCGGATCACAGTCTCAGCCTTGCCGACTAAGTTGCTGGCAGTCACGCGGAAGGAGATGGGCTTGGCAGCGAGGACCATGTTCAACCAGTCCTCATCCAACTCCTCCTTCTTCAGAGTCCCCGAAATCGTCCCCGATGCCTCGTCTAGCAGCAGACCCTGCGGGAGGTCTGGCCAGATAGAGAAGCTAATCTTGCATGAACCTTCGTTGGTCCCGGACTCGAGCGAGCAAGGGTTCTCGACGATGGGATACCCGTTGACGACGTGAACCTCCTGAGGATACATGTAGCTCAGATGCATCGGTGGAGTAGGCGGCGGCTTCTCATCCTCCTCCTCCCCGATCCTTCCGAAGATTTCAAATCCCGAGCAGAAGAGGGAATATCCTCCGTTGTTTGACGGCCCCGTCATGATGACTCTAAAGAAGCGAAACTTTTCCTCTCCAATGTTTTCGATTCTCCACATCTGATGCTTCCATGCGCCGTGCAGCGACGTATCTTGTGTATGCTCGCTTAAGAGTTTCCACCTCCTTCCATCCAATGAGCCCCACAGCTCCCAATTTGTCAGTGCTGATCCTCGAAACTTTTCCTTCCCGCTGGTTGTGTGGCCCCAGGAGGATTCAGGAACGCCTCCACTGAGAGCTACTCGCCCCTCCATATCCCACACGCTGCAGTCGCTGTCCCCTCGGATCCCCGGAGCCTGCGCACAACCGTCGTCCCCGTGCCTAAGCCAATAGAAGGAGGGACACACTTCCAGCCCGCGGGGGAGCTCGACCTGGAACCAAGCTCCTCCTGGCAAACCAAGAGGATGGAACTCGGAAGAGGGGGAGTTCCACACGTACCTGCTCCAAGAGTAGTTGGCTGAGACACCAAGCACATCTTCCTGCCTCCCTCGCTGCCACCCGCATGAGGTTATGTTAATGTAGCCATGCTCCCTCACAAACTCTCGAATCAATTCCAGTCGTCGCAGCCTTGCGAGATCTTGACGGATGTTGTCGTTGTTTTCTGACATCTTGCCCCTTAACCTCACGATCTCTTCATAAACCTCCACTAGGTGCCCCATCTCCGCCATCTCTCTTGCAACGTTTGCCGTCTCGTCATACAGAGACTTTCTCACTAGATCAATTCTCATCGTTCTTGGGTTCTCAACTGTCAGAGGACATGCAACATACTTCTCCATGTTGGAGATGTCGGCCATGATCTTTCTAGTGTTCGACAACCGACATGCGATGTTTTCGTCGTAGGTAGGGTTCTCAAAGATGAGCATATACACCATATGCTGCAACTCCTCATTGTCGGCTCTTCTCTTGCAGACATGTCTCTTGATTCTTTCGATATGCCCTGCCATGGCTTGCAGCACTGCCTCTTTATCTCCAGGGTTCACGTACTGCCCACTTTTTTGGTCGGTTCCCAGAAAGTGAATGATTCCGCGCATCGGGTGTTGAGCTCTGCCAGCATCGATGAGGGCAGACGAAGGCGGGTTGAAGTGAGACACATCCGCAACCTCTTCCCCTCCTAGGGGATGGCAGAACTGCTCTGTTCCGAGCTTAGCCATGAGAGACGGACCGTCATCGTAGGCCTCGCCTCCCGATTCATGCTGAGCGCGGGATGTGATGGAGCCCGCTTCAACTGAAGCAAGAGACATTGTATCCTCTATCAACGAGAAGGGTCTTCTTGTGACCTGTTCTCACTCGCTCCCTCTTCGCCCCTCCCCTCCTCCGTACTGTTCAACTCCTCAGCACATTCCTGACCGTTGAAATCGACGGGCCATCCCCTTCTGGAAACTCTGAGTCAGAGGCGGGCCCAGTGCTGTTCACGGTGGGGAATCACTGCTGGTGTGTGCCGGTGGTGGGTACCGAGTGCTAGGGTGGGTGCTTGCCTCTGAAGCACCCGTACCCTCAGTAATTCAGACATTAGGAGGGGTGGTCTGATTGAAGGGTCATGGTAGAAACTTCCTGCAAGGGGTGGGTGGGATTTATTGGATGGTGGCGGTGAAGTCTTGAAGGGTGACACCGAGCATGGACTCGGAGCTAGCGAAGGTGATGGCGGCGAGGAAGAGGCTGGAGGAGGAGGCAGAGATGGTAGATGCAGCCCTCAGCTCCTCCTCTCTCCCTGGAGTCTCTGCTGCTAAGGTGCCAAGTTGACCTCCCGGACGTGAGATGGCTGTTTGCAAAACTGAAACCATGACAGGCATTCTTCGAAAAGAATGGTGAAAATAGGCATGGAAAGACGAATCATATTGTTAAGAAGACCAAGTCCTTGCCGACGGGAGCAAAACCAATCTTCTTCAAGGATCAGGATCAGGACAAGAGTCGTGAGCAGGCTTCCACTAATAAGACTATCCCTCTTCCTGTCAAAAGCGTTTCGGCTTCTCCACAAGATCATGGTGACGACAACTCGGCATTGCCAAAACCATCATTTTCCAATCAAGACGCGAGAATGAAGAAAAAAGAGCCAAAGGTACAAGAAAGCAGCCCTGCCGTGGCGCAGGCAGATCCAACTGTTGATTCAAACTTTCCTCCCGATATCCAGTCAGCCCCAGGGTTTGGAGCATACGCCAACCCCGAGAAAGCCAAGACAGCCATGGCGACTGGCACAGACATAGCGAGGATGCGAATGTCAAACTCTGACGACCTCTCGGCGCATCTCGGAACAGGCAGCTTGTTTGCACGACCCACACCAGCTCAACTACTCAAGAGCGGTCATGCGAACCAGAGCAAGACAAAACCGAACGTGGCTCCAATGATTCAGCCTGTGCTGTCACCTCAAGGTATAAGACTCAGTAAGCATATTCCATCCCTTTCTCACCTGACTGGCAGCTCCTCCCCCGAACCTCAACAATCAACAATCGCCTCCCTCGCCATCTTCCTCTTCTTTAAACAAATCTATCTCGTCGCCTCCTCCTAATCTTGTCACTCCTTCCTCTCCCTCTTTTTCTCCCTCGCCAACAGGCTCTCAGCACTCACCTCCATCTGGCTCTCAGCATTCGCCCCCAGCCCAGTCCTCATCTTCGTTATCTCCTGCCCTCCCCCAACAACAGCAAAAGATCGTCCAGCCTCCCCCGATCTCTTTTCCGAAGCCGGCCAGCACCACTCAAGGTCAACAGGTTCCACAAGCACAAGTAAGGCAGCAAGTCGAAGATGCTGTGATTGACGTCTGTTGGTGCAGACACTGATTCCTGATGCCTTGCAAATCGGAAAACTCTACACCCTTGAGGAAGAGGGGGAGGAGGTCGAGGAAGATGAGGAGGAGCCTGTGCAAGTGAGAGTAGATTTTTTTTCATCTGATCTCATGATTGACATCGATAAATCAGACAATGCAGCAATCGACATCAAGCTCCGCGATGCTTCACAACAACGACATGTGTGTTCCTGTCACCGTGTCACGTGAACCATTTTGTTCAATCAGGTTTTCACAGGCTTCAAACTTCTGGCGAATCTTCACTGGTCAGCAACTCGTCGAATTCAATCGACTTTGAAGGTGAACCCGGTACAGACGACGTTCCTCTCTTGACATCGTTACAGCTCGCAAAAGTTTTGCAGCTCAAGCCATCTCAAGTTTTCAAATATCCTCTCCAATTTCGCAGGAGCAACTGAAGGACACCTCGCATCCTACTCCTTTTGCATCTTCTCATCTCAATCCTCTGCAGCCTCAGTCTCAGTCTCAGCCTCAGCCTCAGCCTCAGCCTCAGCCTCAGCCTCAGCCTCAGCCTCAGCCTCAGCCTCAGCCTCAGCCTCAGCCTCAGCCTCAGCCTCAGCCTCAGCCTCAGCCTCAGTCTCAGCCTCAGCCTCAGTCTCAGCCTCATGTCCTAACTTCTTCAGCTTCTAATCTTGCGGCTGCTGCTTCTGTCAATGCTCACATCAGTGCAGCCGTTACTACTCAGCTTCATCCTATTCATGCTTCTTCTCCTCCTGACCCTGCACTTTCTGCTTCTACCTCTGTTGTCGCTACTCCTGCCGTGAAGACTGATGGAGGTCTGGAAACCGCAAACCCCCCGAAGAAGCAAGGTTCGATCGCAAAGATATTTTCGAGCGTGTTCAAGCAGAAGAAGGACAACCACGTACAATCTGACAGGCTGGAAGACGAGCAGTCGACCGTGAACCCACAGCCTATTCACGAGTTTAGAGATGCTCACGGCCAAGAATTGAGAAGCTCGTACGGAGACAACCTCTCCTTTGTCTCCTCTGATCTCATTAGCACTCAAAGCAACCACTTGGCGGCTCAAGATTTGGTAGCGAATCCTGCTGCACTGAAGGAGCAGGAGGCGGTGACCGCACCTGACAAGATGCCCGGAAATGTCGCGATGCAGATGCGACAAGAGTTTGGACAAGAGCCTTCGCCCCGTCAACATACACCATTTCGAGCAAACATTCAAGAAAAACATGGAAATACAAACAAGCTGGAGATTGCTGTCCAACGCTCCTCCTCCTCCTCCTCCTCCTCTTCCTCCTCCTCCTCCTCTCATGAGACGGAGGTCTTGGAATCAGAGGATTTGAGAAGGTCGACAGATCAAGTCTCGACAACCTCTTCGCTTTCCTCTCAGTCCCTGTCGAAGTCTCCGTTTGCCAGTCAAGGCAACCTCAACCCATCTCTCGGCAAGAAGATCGATTGGAAGGCGCCGGCATCTAAGATTCGCAAACAAGACGAGGAGGCGTTAGAGCCTGTGCACGTGCAGGAGGAGAGGAACTGGCAGACTTTCGCGTCAGAGAGGATGAAGGAACTGGCGGCGAAGGCAGACGAGGCTGATCGGAAAGGAGTCAGCACAGTCAACTTTAAGGTTTTCCTCAACTCTCTTCCTCCTTCCCCCTCGCCCTGCTCGCTTTTCTCCTTCCTTCTCCTCTTCCTTTCCGCTCTTGTCGCTCATCAATGGTTTCAGATCTCGACTTCCACCAACTCGGTGCTGCTCTGGCTCAAGGGGATGGGGTTCGGCCAGTATCGGGACATGTTTGCCGTCAACAAGATCGACGCAACGGAGCTGATGGAACTGACAGACCTGGACCTCCTCGACATGGGCATGAAGAGTCAGACCAACCGCCTCAAGCTTCTCGGCCACATAGCCGACCTCCGCGCCGCTCAGTCCAGCAAGCCCATCCCTTCCGCCCCTCTCCCCAATGTCTGGGTGGAGACCGAGAGAGACCGCCAGTGGCGAAAGGACGCGGCGCTGGTGGCGAGCATGACGGAGTTTGAGCAGCGGCAGGGATACGTGACGTGGAGGAGGTTCGAGGACAAGCGATGGAGGAGCGGGTTTGGAGTCATCCAGGGCTCCTCCCTCCACATCTTCAAAGACTCCAAGTCGCTCCTTTCCTCTCCCTCCACCTCCGTCCTCCTCACAGGCAAGTTCGTCAGCCACTGCAGCTTCGCTCAGAACTGCATCGTTGTGCAGGAGAGGAAGAGGAAGGAGAGCGACGGCGACCTTCTTCTTGTGGGGTTTGACGAGCTTGACATCGACTCTTGGATGCAGCACCTCATTGCTGCCTCCAGTCTCCCGCAGTATGCGAGGAAGGAGCTGGCTAAGGCTGCTCGGGCCCAGACGGAGGGACGATGGGAGGAGCAGGTTGAGGCAATGGTGGTTAACGTGGAGGTAGTGATGGTGTCGCGACCCAAGAGAACGAAGCTAAAGCTGCACTGGACGGTCTTACCGTCCCTGAAGTCGCAGGACGGGATGGCAGTCAAACAGTTTGACGCACTTGCAGTCAACGTGCAGGAGGAGGAGAAGAACCTCGACCTCTTCCTCGGCATCGTCAACAAGCAGCTCGTGTTGAGCAGGAAGCTGCTCGTCGAGGCCGGTCGTGATGCCTTCTTGATGCTAGAGCTCCGGGGGGAGGGAGCAGATGGGAGGACCAACATAAGAGAGACCTTCTACTGGGCCGTCTTGGACCTGAACTTCAAGAGCTGCGAGCATGCGATCTCCGTCTTTAAGAAACCTGTCGGTCATGACCTGCCTCGATCCTCCATGGACAGCTTGCCGAAGAAAAGGTCCTCCCTCCTCTATCCTCCCTAACTACATTACTCCCTCCACCCCTACTCCCTCTTCTCGTCTCTTTCCTTTTGTTTCCTCTCTCTCCCTTGTCCCGTTCTTAAACTCTTGTGTCTTGCCTGTTTCTCTTCCATGCTTCTGCCTTTGTGCGTCCGCCTTGTTTCTTTCTGCTTTCTTGCTCTATCCTCTTGTTCCTCGCTTCCTGGCTTCCTGGCTCCCTCGCTCCCTTCCTCCCTCCTCTACTGAATGTCTCTGTCTCGCCCCTTCTCCTGGCACTTGGTGATTTTCAATCAGAAACTCCAGCTTCCGCGTCTCCACTCAGGTCAAGAAGCCGCAAGGGAAGGCTGAGGCGGCGAGAGAGGCAGCATGGAGTCTTCACGCTCATGCCCTGATAGACCAGGAGGTCAGTCGTGTCAGTCTTGACGGCCCCACAGAGAGGATGCTGAGAGACGTCGTCCCCCTTATCACAGACCCGGTACATCTCCCAGCAATCCCCATCCCCCCGACTTCGCCACCTCCACCTCCTCGACCTCGTTCTTCTCCGTGACCGTCTGCTGCTGCTGCTGCTGTCTTCTTCCTCCTCGTCGCACCATCTTCCTCCTCGTGTATTCCTTCTTCTGCTTTCCTCTTTCTTCTCCTCGTTGCGACATTCATGACTGGTGGCATCTTCAGGCGTTGGCTGTTCGCTTCCAAGAGGCCATGAAAAGCCTTGCAAAGATCAGCGGGGAGGAGGGAAAGAGCAGAGAGGTGGAGGAGATCAACAGGCACGTACGCGCTGTCGTGGAGGCCGTCAGCAGGATGCAGAAGGACTCTCCTCCTCCTCCTCCTCCTCCTCAGCCTCTCTCCTTGCCAACTTCTCTCCGCCCTCGTGACGTCATCCCTCCAGCTGCGAAGCGAGACCAGGCCAGAGAGAAGAGCAAACCCGAAGCCCCTCGCTCAGCTCGCAGCTCGTCCAAGCGCGCGGCTGCTCCGAGCTCAGCTGCTGGGGTTGGGTCGCTTGAGGAGGATGAGGCACGAGGTCCGATATCGCAACCGAAGTCGCAGAGGAGGAGGGAACAAATGGGATGGGTGAGGGTCCGCGTGGGTGCTGCTCACGAGCGAAAGGCGTGGAAGCGAATGTACGCGGTGAGGATGGGAAGTAGTCTTTGCCTGCACCGGGAGGAGACGGTGAGAGAGGAGGAGGAGGAGGAGGAGAGGGGAGGAGAAGAGCTTCGTAGAACTCAAGGAGAAGGAACAGGAGCTGCAAGCAAATCTGTGGAAGACGATCAAGCTGGATAACGTGTTTGTGAATGTTACGACGAGCAAGTGAGAGGAGGAGAAGGAGGATGATGACGTGGGCATGCGGAGGAGATATTTACAGACATCCAGGCAGGAGCACCTGGTGCAGTTGAAGAGAAATATTCTCGAAGACAGATCCGACGACGTGGAGCTGGTAAAACCATGAGGCGGGACAACAGGAGGAGGAGGAGGAGGAAGAAGAAGAAGAAGAAGAGGAGGGGGAGGGGGAGAGGGACGGGGAGGATGGGGGGGAGGAGGGGAGGGGAGGAGTGGGGAGGGAGAGGGGGAGGGGGAGGGGGAGGGGGCAAATGAGGAGGAGCAATCTTGTTGACGTTTCTTTGTAGCTTGTTGAAACGGTGCAAGAAGCCTCAGCTTGGGAGAAAGAAATTCTCAGAGGAGTTGCCTTCGCCATGTCTGACTCTCCCTCTGCTTTCTCTGCCCCCCCCACTTCCTCCTCCTCTCTTCTCTCCTCCTTTGACGCTCCCGATCCCTCGCGCAAGGTTGCTGGGTCGTCACGGGGGCTGACAAAGGAGGAGGTGGCAGCAGCAGGGGTGAAGTTCACCTACACGGGAGGGAAGGGAGGGAAGAAGGAGGAAAGCGAGGAGGACGAGCGGACGGCAAACACGACCGACACGTTGTCATCGTCCTCACAAGGAGAAGCCAAGTGGGCATTCGACAACGCAAGTCAGGAGGAGGCGGACAGAGTCAGCGTGACCGCCTACAAGATTGAAGTGGTGAGATAGCGAGAATGTGCATCTCCTCCTCCTCACCCACTGTTCTTTCCTCTTCCACTTGCCCTTCCCTCTCACTTCGCATCAGACACACATGGAATGTCCAGCGTCAGAGCTCAAGGCCATCTTGTCGCTCTCCAGACCTTGTCTTGTCGTCTCCGCCGTCGCTCGAGACAGCAGGTGGGAAGCATTCTACCAGCTGAGGCTCTGCTGAACTTGAACTGCACAGGGTGGACATGATCGAAGAGTTTCCGATCTCAGCAAGGGCTGAGCTGGGAGGAGGACAACCCGCCAACTGCCTGACAATCGACTACCATGGGACTCACCAGATTGCCGATGACGTGGCATTGACGCCTCACGTGACTTGCCTGACATGCTCACAGTGCGAGACAATCTGCTTCGAGCTCCGGCACAAGAAGATATACAAGGCAATTCCCCTCCCCTTGTCTTGCCTTGCCTTGTCTCCTCTCCCTCCCTCTCCCTCACACATCTCCCTATCCCCTCTCCCTCTCCCTCTCCCTCTCCCTCTCCCTCTCCCTCTCCCTCTCCCTCTCCCTCTCCCTCTCCCTCTCCCCTCTCCCTCTCCCTCTCCCTCCCCCTCTCCCTCTCCCTCTCCCCACCCCCCTCTCGCTCTCGCTCTCGCTCTCGCTCTCGCTCTTCCTCTAGCTCTCGCTCTCGCTCTCGCTCTCCCTCCCCCTCTCGCTCTCCCTCTCGCTCTTCCTCTCGCTCTCGCTCTCGCTCCCCCACCCCCCTTTCTCGCTCTCCCTCTCGCTATCCCTCTCCCTCTCGCTCTCCCTCTCGCTCTCGCTCTCTTCTCTTTCTGCCCTTCTGCTCTTCTGGCGTCGCTCGATCTCATGCGAGCGCCTCAGGTCAGCACCAAGGGCTGGGCTCGCGTCCCACTCTCCATCGACTGCTCGGAGCTTCTTCGCATCCCCATGAATGCCAAGCCAGTCATGTCAGTCATACTGGAGGATGAGGGTAGAACTGGGAAGGAGAGGAGAGGAGAGGAGAGGAGAGGAGAGGAGGGGAGAGGAGGGGAGTGGAGAGGAGAGCATAGCTGACGATGGAGCAGATACAACAAGGATTTTGGGGGGAAAATCCTCGATGGGCATGCGATGCATATCAGGATCAATAGAAAAAAATGAAAGGACGTGGAGGACGAGGAGGACGAGGAACAAGGTGGACAAGAATTGTGACAAGGAAATGTAACAAACAAATTCGATGGCTAATGGGGGCGGAGAGGTTGGATCAGCTCAAGTTTGTAAATTGATTGTTTCATGTCTATGTTGTAATAATGTAAAGATGTAAAGGTTGAATGCAAGACTGTGAGGAGAAAACTTCGACCCATCCGTCCCTCCCGTTCCTCTCCCCTCCCCTCCCTCCTTCTCCTCCTCATTCCCCTCCAAAAACCTTCCACATCATGACAACTATTCATTCCTTACACCTCCATACTCTCAATCTTCTCCTCCTCCCTCCTCATCTCTTCGTCCACCCTCAGACGAACCTCTTCTGGGATATTCTCCACAGCCCTGCCAGCAGCGTTAGGCCGCAGCCCCCGCCCTCACCTCCCACCTCCACAGCGTGTGCGAGCCTGAGCCCTCCTTGTGCACGTTCTCCCTGCTCGTCGGTCACGCCTAGCAGGTTCAAAGACAAACCTCACGAGAGGTGGCGACGAAACGCCCGGCCGCCGGGGCAGCCATGGAAGAGACCTTGCCTGCGAGAGAAGTGAGGGCAAGACGAGGGCAGGACGCTCGCAGGAGAGGGGCAGGAGAACAGGAGAGCGGGCAAGGAGAGGTGACAAACTGAGAAACTTAGCAAAGGGGAGGAGAGGGGACGAGGACCAACAGTCGAGGGATTAGGAAGAGAGACCGAGAGGAAAGAGGAACGAAGCAATGGAGCAAAGAGATACAAGGAAGGAAGGGGGAGTGAGTGAGATGAGAGGGGGGAAGGGTTCAAAGATCTTCACATGTGACGGGTGATACTGTTGAGAGAAACTCCCGCCTTGAGCTGCTCATCAATGAAGGGTAGCATCTCCTCAATTATCTGAAAGTACGTGACTCCACCCCCCTCCTGATGGCTTGCTTCCTCCCCCTTCACCACCTCCCTCCCTCCTCTTGACTGCTTTCCATTCCTACTCCTTCCCCCCTTCTCCTCAAACTCCATTTCACCCCCCTTCCTTCCTCCTCGTGACGTCGTGGCACCTGCTGTCGAGACTTGTGATATCCATTCACATCGTTGTAGATCTCCCTGCAGGGACAAGATCAATCATGAGACAAGGCGAGGCAAGGCGAGGCAGGGAAGAGGAGCTGAAGTAGGAGGACAGGAGAGTAGACAAGGATACATATCAGCTCGAGAAAGGATCTTGTAAGGTTCATGGTAAGCAGATCGTCCGATCATCACGCCATCCATCCCCTGCACCCTCATGTCATCCTCCATCAACTCCAGCTCTTCCTGCCTGCTCCAGGTGCGCGCGAGCCTGAGAGAGGTCGGTGATGCCTCCGTTGATGATGATCTCCAGCTGAGGAAAGTCCTGCTTCAGCTGGTGGACGACGTGGTACTGGAGCGGAGGAATCTCGCGGTTCTCCTTGGGGGAGAGACCCTTGAGGATCGCCTTCCTCGCATGCACTATGAACGTCTTGCATCCTCCCTCCTCCACTGTCGACACGAACTTGCAGAGGAGGTCGTAGCTGTCTAGATGGTCGATGCCGATCCGATGCTTCACAGTCACTGGGACTTTCACACTCTCCCGCATCGCCGCCACACAGTCTCTCACGAGCTCCGGCTCAGCCATCAGACAGGCTCCGAACGAACCTGTCGAGACTCGCTCGGACGGGCATCCCACGTTGAGGTTGATCTCGTCGTACCCGTAGCTCTCCCCGACCTTGGCGCACTTGGCCAAGTCCTCTGGGTCGCTGCCCCCCAACTGAAGAGCGATGGGGTGCTCTTGAGGAAAGAAGCCCAGCAGGCGGTCTTGGTTGCCATTCAGGATGGCGGAGGTCGTCACCATCTCCGAGTACATCCATGTGTTCTTGGAGATTAACCGCAGGAAGTAACGGTCATACCGGTCCGTCCAGTCCATCATGGGCGCAACGCACAGCCTGCGGTCAGGAAGATCTTGCGGAGCTTGGGAATGCGAAGAGCTCATGCCGCAATGGAAGCGGATCCTCCGACATGAAGAAGAGGCGGGGGTTGAAAACTTCGATCCCGCATGAATAGCAAGCGAGCGAACGAAGGAGGGAGACATTGCGGTTTGGTCTGCGCTGAGCTCCTTGGTTAGTGAGGCAAGAAACAGAAAGAGGGGGAAGGTAAAGCTGAGCCTGATCAGCGCTTGCATTGCATACGTGAAGCAATTGCGATCACAACACCTGCCAAGATATTCTCAGCATAGAAACAACATTCATGTTCCAGACTGGACAAATGCCCTCCTCCCATCGAAATCACTAAACACATTTTCATGCATCTTTCTTCGCCAAATTTCTCCTCTCCTCTCCTCTCCTCTCCTCTCCTCTCCTCTCCTCTCCTCTCCTCTCCTCTCCTCTCCTCTCCTCTCCTCTCCTCTCCTCTCCTCTCCTCTCCCCTGTCCCTCTCCTTCTCCTTCTCCTTCCCTTCCTCTGCTTCACGTTCCACTCGCATCTCAGAGCTGAAAGCTTCACATGCAAATTGACCCCACCCCCACCCTTTCCACTCTATCTATTATAATACCCCACCGCTTCCTGCCCCCGATTTGACCCACCCCTTCCCTATAATTATTTTCACAGTAAATTACACCGGTACAACATCCTAATCCCCGACATCCATGGCGCCCGCCTTTGGGAAGCGTGTCGGGTTGGCTTTTGCTGTTGGAGTGAGGTCTCATGCTGCTTTCTTCCTCCTCTTTTCTTCTCTTCCCTTCTCCCTCCCCCTTTCTGTGACCCCAAAGAATCCGCTGTGTGCACCCTCTCACTTCGCCTACTTGTCGACACCTGCTGTAAACCGGTTGCGGACTGTGGCGAACAGGGGAAGTTTTTGTTTCCAGCAGAGGACATGTGTCAGTCCGAGAGCTCGAAACGATTGCAGGCAGGCAAGGCTGCAGTTTCCTCTCATGTTGAAAGACGGGAACGCTGGTGCTCCTCCCTTTCCTGACTCGCTGATGAATCTCCTAGTGCAACGAGCAGTGCAGAACAAACTGCATTTCCTCGTTGCTGTACAGAATGAGCCCGTGGCTTCGTGGATGGAGAATTTTCTTGATCACAAACATCTGAAAATGATCAAAATGACAGACTACCATTGCAAAGCATGCTATCATGGGATTGACGGGTTGACATGTAACTGGAGGGAGTATCTACAAAAGCTGGAAGGGACATCAGAGCAGACGATACATGTACAGTACACTCCTGGAGTTTCAGAGGTGGAATCTTTGAGGTAAGCAGTCTCATGTGTGCTTATTTCCTGTATGTCTCCGCATCGTCTATGTTCGGTCAACGCTCACGTCTGCACGTTTTCTCAGGAACGCCAACTACTCATATACCAACGTGTTCGGCCAGGAGCCGCCATGGGCGCAGGCATCGGCGTCAAGGAGGCAGAACCCTTATCTCAAGGAAAACAACGGGATGCCCAAGATCGAGTTCACTGAGGTGAAGGACCTCTGTCTCGGGGGCTCCACTGAAACCAAGGCAGGTTGTCAAGCCCAAAGAGATTTTACAGTCCCTTCATTCAATCGCGACGCGTATAGTTGAAGAATTTGAGGAGGACTTGTCACATGTCCGGGAAGAGAACGTGAGAGCTGATCGGTGTCGTGTCCTCTTGTCCTACTTCCCGCTCATCTGTCTGCGGATCTCATCCTTCTTATCTTTTCTCAGGAATACATTCGTCTTCTGCACAAGGAAAGAAACATTTTCAAGAGTGCAAACTCTTCCTTCGAACCCTTGCCTGTCGCTTGGAAGCAGCAACTGAAAGGTCCCTTGCAACCTCCGACCCGATCCCCCTCACTCCCCCCTGACAGCAGGGACGCTGCAAGAGCCAACCCCTTTGCGACAGGCGTCGAAAGATCTTCTGATGCGATTGTTGACCAAGACGGCTGTGCTAGAAGTGCTGGTGGATATGTCACAAGACAGCAAGGAGTCGAAACATTACCAGGTGATACCCCTCCTCTTTCATCCCTTCACACTCCTCATTTGTACTCAGACCCCTCTTCTCTCTGCCTTCCTCCCTTTCTCTCTCCTCCCTCCTCCCTGCACTGACTCACCTCCCCCTGGCAGTGGATGAAGACCTACGTGGGTAAGTGGATGCAGCAGTTCGATAGCGCTGCTTCGGTCAAGGTTGACGTGTCCTTCATGGAAGAGCTACTGCAACAGCCTTTCCGCGTCTCAGGTTTATTCTCTTTCTCGCCTGCAACGTGTTTGCGTGATGTTGCCAACCAGAGAAGGAAGGGAAGATGGAGGTTGTCGACCCTCTATACATCAGCGAGAAGATTTTTGACAAGCGTCTCGATGTCGCTGCAAGATGGACCAACTCTCTCGGAGCGGCACGAGCGATTTTCAATGGCACGTGAGATGGAAGCGACACCATCAGAGAGAAGAAAACGACATGGAGGAGGCACCTCGTGCTGCTCCATCCGTCTGCCTGCAAGCAGCTTGACCGACCCACTGCTTGTTCCATGGGATAGCAGGGAGGGAGATGTTCGATGGAAGAGGAAAAGAAAGTGGGGTGAAGTGAAGGGAAGAAGGGAGGAGAGCAGACCTGACAGTGCGAGCGGACAGACGAAAATGGATCGGAAGGAGATGGGAGCAGAATGGACTGAGCAGAATAGGCAAGGTAAAAAGAAAGGGAGAGATGAGAAGAAGTCATTCGTAAGAGTCAAGTTGGATCGTTCAATGAGTCATTCGTAAGAGTCAAGTTGGATCGTTCAATGATCATAAATGTACCAGAATCTTCGAGGTGGCACCCCCCTCCTTACTATGTCCATCTCCTTGTCCTTCCTCCCGCTTCTTCCTACGCTTGTCCTACCCAGATCCTCCTCTTCAACGGCACTCGTATCCAGCATAAGGCCAACTGCCTCTCGCCGACAGCAATCAGACCTGAGGCTCGTCTGTCAGCAACATCTCACAGCATCGCCTCCTTCCTGTGTCGCTGAAGGCCATGGCAGTCCCTTGCCGCTCCCCGTCCTCCAAGTGATATGGCGCGAAGGCTGTCTCCCATGTCCAGGGAGCGACACCTCGGAGGTACTTCCTCTTGGGGCGCCAACGTCTGAGAACAAGAGCACGAGGACTACTCAAGGCTCACCTCGCATGGCATTTGCAACACGTTGGTGTGATAACTCACGTCCTCGTCGTCGAACAGGCTCAGAAACTGTGCAAGGCTTCAGCTACAACCGTCAAGGCTTCTAGTTGCTCTCAGGATTCAATCTCCTGTCTTGCTGCATCAGCATCAACACCTTTTCAGTGAAGGTTTCTGCATCTGACTGCCTGCTCATCTTCAAAGGAATGCTAAACATTCACTCAAACAAGGTCTCAACGCATGTCTGGCTGCAAACCGAAAGCAGTCATTCGCAGGCCAATGCAGAGCATCCTGAAAAGGTTTAGGTAAAGAGTGAAGGCTTGAGCACAGAGGAAGGGATCTGAATACAGTATCGCAGCACAGGGCGTGTAGCAAGTGTTCTTTTGCTGCCGGTCTCTCCAGTCTGCAAATGCATCACAAGGGCTCATCATGCTGGCGCGACCATTGCCTCGAGGTTTCGAGTACCGAGCATGCCGTCACCAGGTTCTTGTATCTGCTCTTGACAGGATCACTTCAATCGTCTCAACCAGGTCGACTAACCGTCTCAGGGGATCTGATTTGAATCTTTCAATCCCAGGCAGATTGCACTTGGAGGAAGCACTTGTCATCTGAACCATGTCTTTATTACCATTCTCTCTTCCTGCTCAGCTTCTTGCCATAAACGCAGGAGCGTCCTCTTCAGAGACTGTCTTGCTCCCCCAGCAAGGCATCTCATTCAAGACCTCGAGTTTGACGTCAGAATAAGATCACGCGGTGGAAGCTGGTCACGTTATTGAGACACTGAGACAGAGGAAGCCCGTAGAAATTCTCTGAGTTTCTGAAACAAGGGAAGACACCAAGCCAGAGCTGATGCGGGAGAGTCAGACGTGAGGAGAGATGTGACAGGGAATGCGAGATTTGATGTGATAGGTTACCGTCATTTGACTGCAGATTCTCGGGAAAATCATCTCCGATTCCGAGATATCATGTCCCTCCTGTTCAAAGTCTCACTTATCCAACAATCTCGCATGGATCAACAAACGATCCTTCCATAGCTCAATCGTGTCATCGTGAGTTGCAAGTGAGCATATTGGAATGTCCACTTTCAATACATTGCGAGCACAAACTTCAGTGGTGGAGAACAGTTCCTGAAATGATTTGACAAGTGAAGAAGTGATCAACACAACTTACCAAGTTCGATAACAACAACTCGCAAACGCTCCAGAAAGAGTTTGTGATCTTCAAATTCATAATGTAGAGCTTTCTCCAGCTCAAAGGTGCTAGAGAAGGAGATAGACCTGCGTTCCATCATCGCAAGCCGTTAATCGCTTAAAACCACCACATCTCAGTGTGCGCTCGTAGTACAATTGCTGGACAAAGGGCGAATCTGAATCCAAAACCTTGCTATTCCACAAGAAGTCAAATGAAGTTTCATGTCGATAGAATACCGGAATGAACTTGAAATGCAGGTCAGAAGGAGAAAATATTCCGTAGGAAGAAAATCCAGAATTCGCTTGAGAAAATCGCTATGAACTTGAAAGGTTCCTGTCAAGAATAAACTCCAAGCTTACGTCTGTTAGGCAAGCGAGACCTTGGCATATCATGAAGCTATCATAGTCGCTTACCAGGACCTTGTGTTGTGGTCATGTGCTCATTTTCCAAAGGATATCGCTGATGACATGGACGTACCTGAGGACTTGGGTCGGTTGAAATATCCTCGGATTTTCGTAGATGAAGAAGCATCAATCGTGCTTCTGTCCTTGAAAAGCCACAATTTCTACGTACACGCAAAAGAGACGTCGATAACAATACAATCCATCCAATTCAATTCAGCTCCATACATTAAAAGTGTTTGAGAAGCTTTCCCTGTCTTGAGGTCCTGCGTGCATGAACAAGATCAGTATTTGCGGCTGAAGCTCAGAGGGTACTTGTGGTGAGATAGCATTCGTGCGTAGCAGAGGGACTGCTCTCTAAGATAGCATGTGGAAGTTAAGACCCATGAATCAAATGACATGATGCGATAACCTTAGCAAAGTCCGATCCGAGAATTTCATAACATAACGATAAGGTTTCAAGTCTCTCAGTCGTTTCCATCTTGTTCAATTCCAAAAACAGATCTGCATAAGTTTGTTGTTTCAGAAGCAAGAAAGAATGCCCGTGGCTCACGGAGATCTGATTGCAGACAACAAGTGATGGAGGAACTGAAAGTTTCTTATCTGAGCGTCAGTGGTATCATGATGGCAAGTTCAAGAAGAGGGCAAATAGGGAAGAGAAGGGAAAGAGAAGCAGAAGGGGGAAAGGATGAGAATAAACCAATGATCAAACAATGTTAGAAGATGTGATATATCAGTAATTGCGGGCAATGAGAGCCTGGAGGGGCATATGAAGTAGGGTGTGGGAGAGTGAGGTCAAAAGGAAGGAAAAAAAGGAGAGGGAGAGCAGGAGGCAGGAAGAGGAAGGGTGGAAGTAGATTTGAGGAGTCAGGGATGCCATCGATTCCACTGCGATCATATCCGATCCATGCGGGCCTCCTGAGACTGAGCCGCCCACCCCTACCACATTAGGCTACTGGCACGGTACTGATCACCCCCCCCACCCCCACCCCCACTCCCTGAACCTCAAAAAAACATTTGAAAGATCCTACCAGCAGCTCAAAATGACTTCGAGGGAAGCGGGCTATTTTCAGTTTCAGGTTCGTCGGCCTGTGAGGGCCAGTAAAAAGAAAAGAACCAAAGCTTTCATAATAAAGCTGGTTGATTTTGGAAAACCAACGGGACCAGCCATGGGAGGGGAGAGGAGAGGACAGGAGAGGAGAGAATGAGCAGAGAAGTCAGATTAGAGGAGAGGGGAGCAGGCGCTGGCGTACGTTTCGAAGGCACTGGTGGGTTTGCTTCAGGAACAGAGAGATGTCTGAGGGCGAGGCGGAGTGGGGAGAGGAGGGAAGAGAGGTAGGAAGAGACGATAGAGTAACCAAGAAACCATGAGAGAGCTGCAGAACATTGTGATATGAATGATATGACCAACTAGGAGGTGATGCGGTAGGTAAAAAGAATTTATGCTGAACCATATTAGCATTATGTCAAGAAGGCTATACTTACATGTGAATTTTCAGCTTCTTTGTTTGAAATCAAAGCCTTGTTTGAAACAACATTGGAAGACCCGAGGCTTCTATTCTTCTCATCCCCTCTCCCTTACTCAATATCTTTTCTCCCCCGCTTCCCTTTTCTTTCTCCCCCCACAATGTCAAGCGTCTCCTCGTCCAACAGCCAGGGCATTGATCCGGTGACTTACTTGCTTCTCGCCCTTTCTCCGGCTCATCCTGCTGGTCCCGTCCTCCTCACGACCTTTCAAGGTATTGATCATGCGCATACCGACCATGGTGTCAGGGATCTTTTTCGCCGCGTACTGTGTTGTGCAGGTTGGCAGAAAGAGTAGAGATTGAGCAACCTGAATCGCCTGCAGATCTACAGGTTCTCAAATGTTCATGTTCGGTTCTGGTTTACCGCTGTACTTGGGTTGGCTATCATCATCATCAATGCAGTGAGAAGCGGAAGATCCTTTTCACCATTTCTCTCATCGCCATCCTCCTCACCATTTCTCTCATCGCCATTTCTCTCATCGCCATCCTCCTCTTCCTCCTCTTCGATCCCTATTCAATAATGACAAGTGTGGTCGTCAATCACCTGACTCGTCAACTGGCAGGTTTTTATCTTCTTCGCAGCGATTCATTGTCCTCGGCATCTTCAAGTTTGTGACGGAAAAGTTTCTGACTTTCTCAACCCTCCCAGGTTTCACTTCTCTCATGGCCATCCATTCTCCTCACCCCCTTCATCCTTCTTTCTCCGCCCCTTCCTTCACTGTTGCCTCACTCCCCCTCTTTCCCTCCCTTTTGACAAGCTTCTCTTTCCCTCGTGTCCCGGATTTTTCTTTGGTGTGTCTTGTCGCTTCTTTCCTTGCCACTGCGTCTTTGGTCGCATTTTCCTGGATTCCAACACTCATATGAGCTTTTCAGCAACTGCAAGATTATTCTCAACGATTGCTCGGGATGGTTATGAGACTGCAAATTGTCATGTATCATAGTGCGATTTCATAGACGAAGCTTGAAACAGCCCCTGAGCAAATTGCCGCCGGTAACGGTTACTGACATGATTAGTGGTACAAATCCCAATTGTCAGCAAGTTCCTTGACCCGACAACGCTATGGTTTGAATCGCGGCGGCCAGGCCCGGCCCATGGCAGCTCAGGCCCAGGCTCAGGCCGATCCGAGGGCCCCGGGCCCTGCCCGCGGCGGCCGAGCCTCGGAGTACGGTCCGGACTCCCCGGAGCCCGGCCGTCCGGCCCCGGCGAGGCCCGGCGCCGCGCGCGGCCGCTCACTGAGTCAGCAGCCTGCGCCGTCGGAGTGAGACGCCGCGTGACCGGGTCACCGGGTGCCGCGCCCGGCGGCGGCCGCGCAGTCCGAGCGCGGCGTCGCGGTGGCCGGTGACTCCGAGCGGGTGGCCGCACCATCATTCATGGCCGCGCACCGTCAGTCCGACTCGAGTTCCCTGCGGATCGGATCAGACCCCGGGGCCCGGCGCGGCCGCCGCGCCGCGGCGCTCTGCGGCTCGGCGGCTTGGCCGGCGCAGTACCGCAGTACTAGTTAGCCTCAAAGGTTTAGAAGGAAGGTATCAGTTAAGTTTGGGGGACAGCAGTTGGCAGGACTCCGGGAAGTTGGGTTTGGTTCTCGCTGTCTTTTCTCTTCTCGCCGTTTGGCCTGTGCGACAGTCACGGTCAGGGTCGAGTCAAGCCTCCTCGACTATCCCGATTGTCCTCGTACTGATTTTTCCCTTAACTTTGAGTACAGAAAGTTTAGAAGGCCCCGTTTTGATGCTTGTTGAAAGTTGGCCCGGCGGGCTGTCTTTTCAGTGTCACAATCTCGGCGTACCGTGGCAGACTCAGAGGCCCGACAGTCGTGGAACTTGAAGCGGCGGGGCGGCGGGGTCAAGGATTCATAACAACGCTAGGGGTAGGGGTGAAATGTACGAGAGGGAAGTCATATGACCGGTGGTGTTCCTCCGCTCTGCTGAGGAGGGAAACGGTGACGGTGGGTTCTTGAAAGTTCCTCAGAACCTCTGAGCACAGGGGTAGGGTATCTCTATTATTTTACCACCCCACCCCTTGAGGAGTCCCCATTAAAATGAGAGGGATAACTAAATGTGGTGGGGTAGTGAGACTGTATCCAGGCCATGGCGAAGAGGGTGCGGGTTACTGGTGGAGGGGGTGATGCGCTTTGAGGAAAGGGTACTTTCATCATATCAATTGGTGGGTACTTTAGGAGAGAAGGCAGGGGGTAGGGTACAGTTTTGATGAGGTAGGGGTGAAACAGAATGAGAGTCAAAACTCAGGGGGTACGGATAAGACCAGCACGTCGTGGGTTCTAGATGGTTTTAAAAGCATAAAACTTATTATTCTTAAAACCACCAGGGTGCAGGGGATTGATGTAGCCAGTACAATTATATAACTACTTGATTTTTGAATCAAAGGGGGTCGGCTTTATAAAGTATTTGAAGACTTTTAGAAATGCACGAAAAAGAGACAGAATGCAGTTGCTCTGGGTGGGTGATTGAAATGCGTGCAATATAGGGACCGGTGGTGGTCATTACCCTGTAACATAGTATATGGGCCGACTGACAGATGGGTGGGTATTTAACACGACGGTGGGTATGGGGAGGGATCTGGCCGTATTACTCACCAACTAAAGTTTTAAACAAACAGTACCAGTATCTATACAAAAATATATTTAAGATTTTTAATAAAAATATTTCAATTGTAAAATTGGTAGTATATCGATTTTTCAATGAGATATATTATTTATTATTCATGTACCATACACTCAACATAACCTAAAGACAACTCGTTAAAACATTATTAAAAGCAGAAATAAGGGTCAAAAGTTTTACAGAAAAATATTTCTAATGAACTTATTACTGTTTCCGGCCGGCCGGGTTGGTCGGGTTCATGCACGCGCAGTGGTGGATGGAAATGGCGGCAGGGGAGGAGGCAGAAGAACGAGAAGGAGAAAGTACATGCTGAATGGGATGAAAGCAGATCGTAAACTAACCATTGCGCTACCTCTACTACCGACTCTCCACCTTTTCATTTTTTTCAACCTCATTCTTGATTTCTTTGTTTCTCCTTCTGTTTCTTTTTGTGGCTTTTGCAATTTTTCTGCTTGTCCTTTTGTGATCGGTCGTCCAATGTGGGAAGATGCGTTTTGTTCTGTTGACTCTTCTGGACCCACGCACCAGGCTATCATCTTCTTCTCCACACACCTCCGTAGCTAACATGTTAGCTGTTTGCCCTGCCCATGTGGACTTACACTATTTCATCTTTTTCGCATCGTTCTTGGAATGCTGGAATATGTCATTTTGCATGTCTGTACATGAATCAGATGTTCTTGTATCTGATGGATATGAGATGGCTTGCATGAAGACAATGTTTGGAACCGATGGGGAATAGATGACATATTTCCCCCCCCCCCCCCCCCGCCCCCTCCTTCTATGGCTATTGCTATGAGTTGATACATTTCATCTTTAGAGTTCTCCTCTCCATTTATTGTTGAGGCATACCTGTTGCTTCATGCTCATTTGTTCTCCTGTTCGATATGTTGTCTTCCTCAGCAAGAGTATGCTTCTGGTTCAGTGCAGTTTCGAGAATTTTGACAGTGGTAACTCACTTTCTTTTGTGACAGACGTTTCCAATCTCGTTACTCCGATATAATCCGAACAAGCTAACTTGCACATAAAAAGCACGAAATAAGCTTGGAAGGCGTAAGAAGCCTGCCGTGTCTCTCAGTTTCAAGGCCGAAGATGCCTCGCAATGCTGGGAAGATAACACCTAGAGACATTGCTGAGAGCTTGGCAATGTACAATCAAGGGGTGGAGAAAGTTCAAGCAACCATCCAGGGGTACACAGGACTCGTAGAGGCGTTTCGTGTTACTCCAGGAGGAGGATTCAAGCTCAGAATGGAGGCTTGGAAGGATGCTTGCCAGTACACGTCTGGTTTACGCAATGCGTTGCAGCGTCACTTCAAGAAGGTGACTGTCGGGGAATGGTTCAGCGATGGTGCTGTGCTGGTGCCCTGCACGGTTGCAGATTCCGTTCAAAGGACATGGGGGAGGGGTAACCGGCAGCCTCATCCGAAGTGGGATGACGTGCAATGGACAGTGGTGATTTGATATTGTGAGCTTGAGTTCCTGCCTGAGCTTTGTCGTGCAGGTTGAGGTGATGAACCCAGCTGATGACTCAGCTGAATCGATGTCACGTCCCGCTGTTGGAGACGTTGAGGGCTCGGAGCGTCCGGAGTCAGACTCCTACAGCCGTGCATCGCAAGATGTTGAGCCAGAAACAACCAGCCCGGCTACAGCAGGACTAGAACAGGACAACACTCCATCAAATGCCTTGGTAGTGTCGAGACCAGGGTTTGTGCTTTTGTTGACATTTCTTCCAGTCTCGTGTAAAGGAAGCATCGGCTTCTGCATCCTCTGTGTCTCCTTTGGTTGGAATCCCTTTTTCCCCGGATTTGTATAATTTTCAAAGTCTTCGTGGGGAGTCCCCTTTGTTAAGCGTGTCCAGCAGCAAAGGTTTATAGTGTAACCCTTCAAGTTCTTTTGTGTGACTTCTTGTCGTAGGACGCAAAGTGTACGATGTCGATGAAGAACTTGAAAGGTTAGTTTCGTTTCACGGACAATGATTTGATCCATTGACATTCGGGCTTTCAACAGGCTGAGACAGATTAAGAACATGCAAACAAACAATGTTATCTTTCCGGTCACTCCAGTCACAGAATTGAACATGCAGGTCTGAATGTTTAAGCGTGCAGTGTTGGCGAAGTCTGACTTGTTGATGTCAGATCAACGCCGGGGCAGACCCTCATGTGCCTTGTAACCAGGTGCGAGGAGGAGGACAGGGAGGGGTCAAGCTCAATCGTGTTCAGGTTGAGATGATGGACTTCGACCGAACTTCGTTCCAGATGCATCAGGTACCTGCTGACTGGCTGTGCCACTTCAATCTGACTGTTTGCTTAGCAAGCGCCAGATGCAGCAGGCGAAGTGCGCGAGGTGAAGGGCAGGACGAGAAGCCGCAATGCCTTGACCGTGATGGAGCAGGTGACTCTCAACGAGGACGGGGGACATCGCTACGACGATGGCAGCATGACGGTGAGTCGAACGGGTGTTGAGAGGTGGTGGTCGAGGAGGAGCAAGAGGAGCAGGAGGAGGTGGTGTAGGACGGGGAGATTGAGGAGCATGACGCAAGGATCACAGTTTGTGAACGAGGGAAACGCATCTCACTACCCGAACACTTCTTCTGCTCAGGTCTGCCAAGAGGAGGGAAAGGTTTCTCCTCACTTCACCGCAGGCTGGAGATCAAACGTGCTCCTCTGACTCGGTTGGGTTTCGATTCCACCAAGTAGGCTCGCGACGCCCACGATGGGAAGGAGAAGACGACTCGGCAGGAGAGGATGTGACCTCTAAGGCTTTGCGATCTGAATGAGTCAAAGTGACAGCTGCTTCACTTGGATCATGTGGGAGAGGAGTTCACGAGGAGGAGGAGGAAGCGGGGTGGGGGGTGGGGAGGGGGGGGCTTAGAGTCTCATGCTGTTGTTATTTATGGTACATTAAAAGGATCCTCATCAATCACATTGATTCAAGAATATGATTCCACGTGAGCTCGCCCCCTCCCGCTTACTCCTCCCTCCGTCTGCCTCCTATATCTCACCCCATTCTCTACCTTTTCCACTCCCATAACTCCTGTCCTCCTCCCACCTTCCTCGCTCCTTCACCCTCCTTCCTCTCCCTCCGTGCCCGGTGGAGGGCAGGAAAGCTGTGGGATGGTGGAGGTGGACAACTTGGGCTCATCGAGCACCCTGGCTGCCATCCTCATGGACTTCTTCTGCAAAAAAGTGAGAGGAGAGGGTGGAGGACAGGAGTGAGCAGAAGAGAGGAGAGAGCGAGAAGAGGAGGAGAGAGTGAGACACCGGAGAGCGAGAAGGTGCGTCGAAACTGCATGCTGCTAGATCCATCCGAACGCTGGAGGACAGTGAGAAAAAGCAGACGGGGGGAGGGGAGAACGACAGGCGGGGGGAAAAGGACGAGAGCGCACAGTAGGAGGAGCAGGAGCCGGGGAAGGGGAAGGGGCAGAAAGCATGCCCTTGGATCGTTTTAGCGAGCATCTCACCGAGGCGAGTAGGGGCAACCTCTAATCCTCTCCATGCTGTAGACCGTCGGGATTTGATTGCTGAAGACATTCTGCTCTGCTCCTGCCCTTCCTCGACGTGCCGCCCAAAGAGTCTCTAAGTTCCTTTCCTGCTCCAAAAACCCACATCACTCCTCCCGCGCCTTCTTCCTCCCCACTCTCTCCCTGCCCCTGCCCCTCCCCACTCTTTTGCTCATCACCAGTTCGCTCTCCTCCAGCATGAAAGCTTCCTCTCGATCCTCCCATGCCATATTGCTCCTGCCGTCCTTGACCTTCCAGGATTTGACTCGCGGACTGCCCGGACTGAACACCGCAAGGAGTCGCTCCTCCATCTGCCATGAAGGAGTCAGCAGAGGGGGAGCAGAAGCAGGCGCAAGGTCAGAGCAGGAGAGAAGGGGTGAAGACAGGAAGAGGAGGGAGGAGGGAGTAACACAAGGGGGATTCTGACGTACCTTCATCGCACGTTCAGCAGCTTCCTTCACATAATTTTTGTTCTCTGCCCACCTATGTCACGGACACATCCTCCTCGTCCTCGTCCTCGTCCTCGTCCTCGTCCTCATACTCCTCTTCTCTTACCTTTCATCTCAGCATCAAGCAGTATGCGGAGCAGATAAGGCTCGCCAGGATGCAGACGCCGTGCTGGGGCAACATGAGAGAGGAGAAAGGCAAGAAAGAGAAAGCAGAAACAGGACGAAGAGCAGAAGCAGGAGCAGGAGCAGGGACAGGAGGAGGAGGAGGAGGAGGAGGAGGAGGAGGAGGAGGAGCAAATTAGATTACCGAAATGAGAAGCGACGAGTCCATCATCAGTGCACACGTTGGCTAACGCGCCATGCTCGAGAAGGAGGGAGCAGATGGCGACGTCGCCATGGACAGCAGCGACATGAAGGGGAGTGAAGCCATGGCCATCCTGCGCGTTTACCTTCACCCCCTTGTTGCTGAGCATGGCAGCAACAATCTCGCACTGCCCCTTGCGACATGCGACATGCAGTCCTGTGACCGACAGGTCGCTCTCGTCAAGCACATACATCCTACTCGCCCTCCTCCCCACGTCCTCCATTCCGCAGTCTCGTGCACAGACAACGTCGGCAAGCGACAAAGATACGCCCATGCTGCTAACCAAGTGAGAAGGGGGCGAGGGAGAGGATGGAGGGACAACAACGCAGAAAGGGAGGAAACGAGACGGCAAAGAGCAGCAGGAAGGAAGTTCAAAATTCAAGGGGAAACAACAGGAGAGAGGAGGAGCAGGAGATTGGAGAGTGGTGGAGGACAAGGAAAAGAGATGAACGAGAGTGCGATTGAGCTGGGTTAGAAGACAGAGTAGAAGATGTCTCATACGACATACTACGATATGTTGCTCTTAGTGAAGGAGCAAATAGAAAAGAGCGAGTACAGCACAAGTCAAACACAACAGCATCAGAACATGCTCAGGACATTGATGAGAACACACAACTTTCATACGTCTCTGGTAGTGCACTTAGGCACTCCCACTGTGGGCTCTCCTAGGGTCGAGGCCTCCGTCGAGGCTCCTAGTCGAGGCTCAGCTAGTCGAGGCTCCTAGTCTACTCTCTGTCTCTGTCTCTCTGTCTCTCTGTCTCTCTTTTTCTCTCAGGTCTCTGTCTCTCTCTCTGTCTCTGTCTCTGTCTCTGTCTCTGTCTGTCTGTCTGTCTGTCTGTCTTTCCCTCCCTCCCTCAGGGCCACAGGCTCTACGCATCGCTCGGCTCGAAATGTCTGGGGTACAAGTTCGGCCTCACTAGGCAAAATTTGACCGTGCCGTTGAAAAAAAACCACGCTTTGATTGACTCGGGCAACTTCTGACAGTGAACCGTTCCGACTGAATCAAACTTGAAAGTTCAACCGTTGACCCGGGCCACTCAGCCGGGAGAGGGCCCTCAGGCTTCACGGCGGGGCCCGGCCCCGGCACTACTGTCAAGCCGCTGAGCGGCGAGGGTGACGGAGGCGGGCCCGGCCCACCGGCCGCCGCCGGCCCCACCCCGGTGCCCTGAGCCTGTGGCACTCAGTGCAGTGACTCGGATCGGAAGCTGCCGCAGTGCCCGGGCCGCCCGGCACTGCCCACCGCCGGGCCCCGGCACTGCCCCGGGCCGGTCCTCACTGGGTCAGTGCGCGGCCGCGCGGCCCGCCCGCGGCGCCGGCTGCCGGGATTGCGGCCCCCGGACCCGGTGTCCGGGCTCCCCCCGGGCCCGGCCCGGGCCGGCGGGGGACCTGGCGGGGCCGACTCCTGAATCGGACTGAGGAACGGTTGAGAATGTGGGGGATGATTCGAGTCTGTTTTGTTCGAACTGTATGAGGCCACGTGACCTTGTTGTGCCCCACCAGTCGAGCAGAGGCAGCACCTAGGGGTAGTAGGGTGGTAATGGCATAAACAATCTGGATGGTAGGGGTGGTGTTGTACGGGTGGATTGAAATGGAGAAACAATGAGGAAGGACGGGGTTAAAGGAAATGTGATGAGTTTAGTGAGGAGTACCGGTGGTCGAGGACTACCCCCTCTTGTATGGTAGCGAAGACTCCGGGGTTATAAGGATGGTCAGTCTGGGGATGAGGGATGAATTGGTGAAAGTAGGGTGGGCATGACCTCTAATGGGGTGTATCGCCATGGGGTGGGGGTACTACCGCAGAATCAGGGGTCCTTCTATCTCAATTTCTATGGGAGGGGTAGGTGGTGCAAAACATGGGTGGGCCCTATACCGATGGGGTCCATCTTGTGTAGCAAGGGTCCACCGGGCTTCAAGGGGGTGGTTTTTGGCTTTACTCTGGGTGGGTGATGACATAGAATCTCTGTTGCAGGGTTCGTTGAAGGAACAGAGGGGGTAGTCGATCTGGAAATATTGCCTGGGTAGGTCATGTGTGAATCGGTGGGTGAAAACATTTCAATGGGAGGGTAGTGGATTATTGTCATGGGGTCAGGGTACCGAGGGGTGATAATCGGCAGGGTAGTAGCGAATGAGGGGTAGGGGGTGGAGGGGTGTAGTTGTGACATAGCGGCCTCCTGCTGCCATGGCAATGGCGGCGATGGCGCTGACGGTGGCGATGGCGATGGGGGTGGCTGAAGCCTTTATGGCTCCTTCCTCCTCCTGCTCCTTCTCGACATCCATATCCTCTTCTTTCTCCGCACGTTCTAAGTTCCTCGGAGCCTCAGTGACAAGGATGCAACAGAAGCCTTCCAAGCTGTGTGGGGCTGGAAGCCGCAGCATCCAGGTGATAGAAAGAAAGAAGAACTGCAGACGTGGAAGAGACTAATCATACATCCTGCTGTCTGGATCTTCTCTTCTACTTCATGTCCCATCTCTCCCATCTCTCCTTCCTCTCCCTCCTTTGTCACAAAGCTGGTTGACGTCTGACGTAGCCCGACAGATCGGAGGGATGAACATGGTGGCTAGCGCAGATGCTGAGGCAAGAGCAGGTGAGTCAGGGTCGAGTTGCTTGTAGAGCATGACAGGACGTACGTACCAGCTGCTGCGATGGAGATGGAGACCAAGGGATACCAGAAGTCCGCCATGTCAAAGAGCAACCTGCCCCTCTCCCTCATCGTCGGGCAACAACCAATCAAGACAGCTCTCCTGCTCGCTGCTGTGAACCCTCAGATGGGAGGAGTGATCATTGCAGGAGGAAGGGGAACAGGAAAGTCTGTCATGGCTCGTGCGCTTCACAGGCTCCTCCCTCCCATCGAGATCGTCAAGGGGTCCAAGTTCAACATCGACCCCAATGATGAGAGGGGCGAGATCGACGACTTCCTGGCCAACGAGCTCGCGGCATCGGGCAAGGACTTCAAGGACCTTGAGACGGAAGTCATCGAGTGCCCCTTCGTCCAGGTTCCTCTCAACGTGCTTGACGACCGTCTCCTCGGATCCGTAGACGTGGAGCAGTCAGTGAGGCAGGGCAAGACCGTCTTTGAGCCCGGGCTGCTGGCCAAGGCCCATCGGGGCGTCTTGTACGTGGACGACATCAATCTTCTTGACAACGAGCTGTCGAACATCCTCCTGTCTGTCGTGTCGGAGGGCTGGGTGAACGTAGAGAGGGAGGGGATCAGCGTTCGCTACCCCTGCCGCCCGCTGCTCATCGCAACCTTCAATCCCGAGGAGTCGGAGGTGCGATAGTGCTGAGATCCTCCTCTCTTCCCTCCTCCCTCTCCTATCCCTCCCTCATCCTTACTCCTCTCCTCCTCCCTCCTCCCTCATCGGCCTCCGTCTTCAGCTCCCGCTCCCGCCCCCGCCCCCTCACTTCTTTCAATTTCATGGTTCCTCCACTTCTCTCGTCAGCCTCTTTTCCTTAATCTCTACAACCTCTATCTCTTGTCACCCGATCTCTCTGCCTCCTCGGCCTTGCTTTCCCTCCCTTGACATATCTTTGAGCTCGTTGCCTGCTCTGATCTCTGTCTTCCAGCTCCGCTCTCACCTTCTCGACCGCATTGCCGTCTCTCTCTCCGCGGACGCAAACCCCCTCAGCCTTGACGATCGTGTCGAGGCCGTCAACAGCTACTTGGGCTTTGCTGAGAAGACGATGACTGCTGATGATATCCAGGTCCTCCTTCCCTCACCGCCTCAACCCCAACCCTCTTTGCCACCCCCAACCACCGCCACCGCCATTTCCTCCTCTTCCGAACTCCCTCCGCCCTCCCCGTATCCCCTACTCTCCTCATCTTCCTCCCCGTCTTCTCCCCCTCTTTTCCTTCCTTCCCTGCTGCTCGCTCCTCTCATCGTCCTTCGCCAGGACATGGAGGACAGTGAGGAGTCTCTGAGGACGCGCATCATCTTTGCCCGCGAGGATCTCAAGGAGACCAAGATCTCTCCGAAGCAGGTACAGCCCAGCTGAGCTCTTGCTGGCATTTTACCGGCTGTTTCAGATCGCGTATCTTTGCGGAGAGGCCTCCCGTGCTGGAGTTCAGGGTCATCGCGCTGAATTGTTCGCGTGCGAAGTTGCCAAGGCCAACGCGGCGCTGAACTCAAGAGCTGTAAATGCTGACGACTTGAAGGTGCCATCCTCCTCCTCCTCCTCCTCCTCCTCCTCCTTTTCTCTCATCCTCCTCCTCCTCCTCCTCCTCCTCCTCCTCCTCCTTTTCACTCCTCCCCTCCTCCGCCACACACAACGATGCTGACGACATGTAGATCCTATACTACTCTTAACTGTATTTGATTATCACTCCGTCCATTAGCACGCACTTCCATTCCCCTTCCCCGTCGACCAGCATTACATCCAGGTCTTCCACGAGCTTGCATTCTTGTAGCTTTAAAATCACGATCGCAAGCGCTTCTGCAAGCGGCGGATCCCCTCCAACCACATACCCTTTGTAAATCTTACTTGATACGGGCGGACATGAGGTCTGCCAGTTCTTTCGCAACAGATTCTTCCTTCCCTGGGAAGCCAAAGTCTCGCAGCTTCTTACAGACTTCTCTGCCATACTCACTCAATATCTTCGTGTCCGTCAACAAATGCTCATTCACAAACTTCTCCAAACCTTGCGTGAAAGAACTCTTGCTGCTGTACCG